ATAATGCATGGCAATGGTAACAAAATCTATGAGAGTAGAAAAAACATGCACAGACAAATCCAAATTAAACCCTGCGACTCGTGACGACACATTGATGTCCTAAGACACAAAACGATCGGTTTGTGCCAGAAACCGAACAGTATTTATATAATTTTTTACCTCTAATACAACACTATGTCCAACTGTCTTTGGGCGCGCGCACGGCATTCGGTGCGTGAGGTGTGTATGCGCTCTGGCGTAGTTTACGTTAATGGGTGTGTTGATATCCAGTCGAAGACTTCCGGCGCTTGCGTAAACTATGCCAGAGCGCATACACACCTCACGCACCTGATGCCATGCGCACGCCCAAAGATAGTTGCATATAGTGTTGTATTAGAGGTAAAAAATTATATAAATACTGTTCGGTTTCTGGCACAAACCGATCGTTTCATGTCTTAGGACATCAATGTGTCGTCACGAGCCGCAGGGTTTAATTTGGATTTGTCTGTGCATGTCTTTTTTTTACTCTCATAGATTTTGTTACCATTGCCATGCATTATACGACTGATAGACTGCAACGGTTAAAGTTAAAAATCATCATATGTGTTCTACTGAAGAAACAAAGTCACCTACATCTTGGATGCCCTGTGGGTAAGCAGATAAACATCAAATTTTCATTTTTGGGTGAACTATCCCTTTAAAGATCTTGAGCATTAGAATAGCAAATTACATAAATGCAGTGCATGCTTATAATAAACAGAGCATTATTTTCATTTGTGTAAATGCTAAAATGCTTAGCTTTATAGTTAGCATTCTTGCTGTGAACAGGCCTTCAAGGGATAGTTCACTCAAAAATGAAAACTCATCATTTACTCATCCTCATGTTCTAAATTTTTTTTCCCTCTGTTGAGCACAAAATTGGATATTCAAAAAAAAAAATATATATATATATATATATATTTTTTTTTACAGGAAACTCATTCAGGTTTAGAGCAAGTGAAGGGTAAGTGATGACAGAATTTTCATTTTTGGGTGAACTATCCCTTTAAAGATCTTGAGCATTAGAATAGCGAATTACATAAATGCAATGCATGCTTATAATAAACAGAGCATTATTTTAATTTGTCTAAATGCTAAAATGCTTAGCTTTATAGTTAGCATTCTTGCTGTGAACAGGCCTTCAAGGGATAGTTCACTCAAAAATGAAAACTCATCATTTACTCATCCTCATGTTCTAATTTTTTTTCCCCCTCTGTTGAGCACAAAATTGGATATTCAATATATATATATATATATATATATATTTTTTTTTTTTACAGGAAACTCATTCAGGTTTAGAGCAAGTGAAGGGTGAGTGATGACAGAATTTTCATTTTTGGGTGAACTATCCCTTTTACAATTACGACAGAGGAACAATATTGTTAATTTTTTATTCTGAGTCCCTCTGACTTCAAAGACTTTGAGTATAGAGTGCTGTAGGAGTGCAAACCTGCAAATGAATTAGCACTTCTGGTTCCATTGTCGTAAAGTCAATGGTTTTTTTGAATGGGTTTTTGGTTAAATGCCTGAAATAAGGTCTGTGGTTAACAGAAGCTCAAGATATTTTTACATTTTATTCTATGACATAAAATACACCAGTAATGGTTGCTCATGATGTTTTAAAGCTATTACTTGTTTTAAAAAAATGTGGTTGCTAACAAGTGGCTAAATGGGACTACAGAGGTTGTTGGGGACATTAAACATCATCACACAGAACAGGTGAACTCATCTATCATCTATCTCAGACTTTTGTCGCTTTGCTGCATTTCTCGAGTCATCCTTAATATTTGCAAAGAAGTATGTGCATTTCTCAAAACAATTCGTACAAACAGCACCACTCAACGGATTACCTTCAAAAGCCTATAACTTACTCAAAATCTTTAGTTCATCTCTCAAAAGTAATTATTTATGTCAATGAACATACCAGTGCCATCTGATATGCGCCTCCGTACTTGGCCTCTTCCTCTGTTTTGCCTCTGTACCCTTCCACCATGCATTCTTACTCCTCTTCTTCCTCTCGGCTGTTGACCCTGATCGTTTCCTGGATGTTCATCCATTGTCAGAATTTGTAACTCTTGTGCTGTCCTCTGTCTATATATGCTTTCCAAATTAAGGTTCATGAGATGCACCTTTCAGAGGACTGATTTATCATTGATTGGTCTACATTCTCTTCATTAGTGAAAGTCAAGATTCACCTGCATAATTCATGGAAAATTTACAAAAAGGCTAACAGAAATGTGTAGAAAATATGCTTGACAGTTTATGACAACTAGATCAACCATTTTGCATTTAATGACTTATACGATGAACTAATGACTTGATGTTTTGAGTGGTAAGACTATTGCACAGAGAACTATATAATACATTTTGAGCAACATGACATTAGCAACTGATAATGTAGGAAAGCGCAGACAAATGTACATAATCAATTGCATGAATGTACCAAAGCAATCACAACTTGTTCAAAAGAATGAGAAACTGCTTTTATGACGTGCACAAGTGACTAGCTGATGTGGAGGTTGAACAAGTAGTTTTGAATATTTCATTTCTGATCTGAGAAATGCACCAAAGCGACTGAGAAAAACTGTAAATAGAGACTGAAAGTTGAGTTCTGGGATGCTTAGTGATGATGATATTGAAGTCATGTGATCATGTTGTTTGTTTATAACCTACATTTAGCCTTAAAAATCCATAAAATTGTTCATTTGTGAAGATTATCATGATGAACAAAATGTGTAAGAATTACAAACTTTCGTTGGTCTCTAAGATTATTTTCTGCAATAATCCAAAAGCCAATGGGAACATCCTATTGGGACTTTGTCAAGGGAACTAGGGTGATGCTAACTTTTGAATTGGCCAACAAAAATACATCATGACTGCAGCACTCTATTTAAAGTGATCGGACGACATACTGTAACTGCAGTGCCCCCTATAATAAACAGACCATTATTGTCCACTGATGATGGCGCTAATATAGATATTTTTATAGTTATACTTCCTTGTGTGAATGGGCCTGTTTTAGACCTATTTACTTTCATCACTGTCAATGTAGTTACAGAAATTATTCACAGATATCTTAAAAACAAAAATGGTATTTGACTTTAGTTACTCATTTATTTAGAGAATATTTGAGTTGCTTCGGCAGGCTGTTGAATGAACGGGACAATTCGAGGGTTACATCTGTGAGTCAATCCCAAAAACTGGCTGCGTGAATTCTGTGTGAATCACTGAAGTGATACAGAGCAGGAATCAACCTCTGTGACCTCTTCATCATTAAATCTCTTGAAATCTGAGCGAGGATCAAGGAGGGATTATGACTGAGGCCAATGGGGCTAATGCCCTGGGACCTCTGACCACAGACGCCTGACACCTGGAAACAAGGCACTGATGAGCTGTACAATTGATACTGACAGAGAAATACTGCTTCAACGTGTGGCAGTCAACTAGTAAAAGGCAATACATTATCAATTAGGAATTCTGTGTGTATGTGCTGTACATGTGGAAGAATTGACAATAAAGCAGACTTGACTTGACTTGAATTCAAAATGAATATAAATAGCACAGTTTCATAACATAATGAATAAAAAATGCTTATGTTATGCTATCTTGCTATCTCTGAAGCTTCAAATCCTGGTTGAATACAATTTGAAATTTTAATTATCCAAGTAGCGTGGGCGCAATTAGTTGCATTTCATTTTGTGATTTCACTGACTTAATTAACTTGACCTGTACTCTTTGCCGCTATTAACTAAAATTAATTTTTTGACACGAGCAGATGAGAAGCAGCAGAAGTGGTATGGGTCAGCCAACACGGTAAGGGAAGTACAGCAGAGAGACCTGCTTGGACAATTCCCTTTTATTAAGAAGGGCAGATGGAACAGTCCCATAAAACCACCATGAACAAAGAAGTTGAGTGTGTCTGTACAGTAAATTGTATACACCTATTGCTGTCCAGTAGCATGTTGGCTTTGTCAGGCTCTGCCAATGTAAAATCATTCTAAAAGTGACTTCAATTATATTGTTCCTCAGTGTTGTTATGGCTGTAGCTGTGGTGTGGACTTCGCTATACTCATTGAATTATAACACTTAAGTGATCGTCCTTGGCCTTAAACTTAGCATGTTTTGTACTTCCATTTTTTTCAAGCACTGCATATTTTTGGGCCATTGGACAATTGTGAACGAGATGAGTGATGGCGAACAGACCTAGAAAAGGAAGGACATGAATATATTAAACTGTGACCACTAAATTATCCAAAAATCTCTCCAAAAACGGTTGGTGTGTGGCCTGTAATGAGAGAAGGAGAGAATGGAGGAAAGATAAATGACCGACAATAGATAATTGCAGTGCCGCCTTAGTCTCATTCATGCAGCAACTTGTGCATTCATTTGGCATTATGAGCGAGACTGAAAAAAGAAGACTATTAACGTAATGGATCAGAGTTGCAGAGGAGGGAAGGAATACAGATAGAAGGAGAGAAAGAGGAAAAAGAAGACAGTAGAGGGAAGAGGGAGTGGAAAGGAGGACAGAAGTAAAATAAAATGAAAACTAGCTTTCCTGACATTCATTTGCCCAAATGTATGTCATTGGTTCATTTGTTCCCAGAGTCAAGTATGTGAGTCTTTTTTTTTTACCAAATTGTGCCTAAAAACCTGCTGCTTTCAACTTGTTACATCGTGCTTATTATTTGTGTGCAATAGCATGCTTCAGCTTTATAAAGTGAGTTTTCATAAATTAAGTTAGGCTGTCTAGTGGAGCATGATGTATTATTGAATTGTAAATGATGACATTCTGCAAGATAAATAACATTTATGCTTTGAATGAATCTCTTAATTCTTTCCAGGTGAAAAGATTCATACTGAATCCATCAAATTTGTTGATGCACTAATGCATAAATTTATGCGGATTGGGATTTCAATTCATTTTCCAGTCCATTCCACTCATATTACAGAGACAAAATAATACCCAAAACCCTTTTTTTTTTTCAAAGTTATAGGCTTTATTTAACTGCCAAAATGTCAAGCATGTTTCTACATAAATAACAACCACGATAATCAACGTACATGGCTACATGGAGCTGATGAAATCTCTGGATGTGACATCACAATGTACTTGGTCATTTGTGGAACAAAGACAGAGCAGCTCTCTTATCTTAAAAATAAACGAGGGGAAATGAATCAACCTGAACTGTTTGAAGATGAGTTTCGGCTAGCTAATTTGTTGTACGCGAGCGTAGACCAACCTGCTATTTACAGAACACAAGTAAAAGTCACTAAAAAAACCAAACAGTCTGGGAATAAGGAAAATACAGTTGATAAAAAGCCATATTGTATGCATTTTAACAAAATATACAAAATCTAAAACATGATAACATATAAGTAATTTGGGGGGAAAAGCTCAATTCATGCAGCCTATTGGCTGGCGTGTCAATGAAAATGCATAGTCTCTGTCCATCGAGTAAATATTTCAACATCGTGAGCACATGCTTGTGCTTCCTACAGACACTAAAATATTCCTTTATTCGTGCTCTTGTAGCATTGTGACTCTCAAACTCTTAAATAAATATTCCCCAGCTATATAACCCTTGCAATGCATAAATTATGTCTAACATCACACCACGCGACGCACCAGTTACCACTGAAAGCGGACTCTTACAGCAGTGGCTGTGACTGCTGAGTCAACTAAAACTTGATTCTTTATGTGCCCTTGAAACTCTACAACCTCTCTTACTAAGATTATACAGGATCAGAACCATCCCTAGGTATGTTATGTTTTCTATTGTGTAACAGACTCGTTCTCAGTTGTTCACTGATCTAACCAGTGTTGGTTTTCATATAGGTTTTAATTGGGGGTTCAACACAAAGACTTCTTGGTGTCATCATTCTTACACCCGAACATTTCATGAAGATTTACAGTTGTCAAACACATCATTACCAATATCTCAATATCCACAGTAGGTGACAGTTTCCCAGCACGACGCTGTTTTAATAAGCCAGATATGCCTCAGGGTTTGTGGGAGTTATAAACAGGTGAAATTTAAGTGTGGCTCTCGTTTTCACTCTGCGTGTGGAATAGCCGAGGAGGGTTTAATCCACAGGCTCGGGGGGAATAATTATGTTTATTTGTTTTTAGTGAGTATTCCTTCAAGGCACTGGAAAAAAATGGTCCGAATGCGTTTTGTATGTGTGTTTTAGGTGTTAACAGGGAGATGAGGAAATATCATTCCTAAAAGATGCCAAAAATCACTGTTTTTCTGGGTCCGTATCAGTTGAATCGATTCAATCAATCAGTTAAACAATTCTCACCTTCAAACAAAGTGATTCTTACTGACTTTCTTATTAAAGGATACCAATGCTAGTTTGACGCCACCTAATATTTTTTAGAGAAACTACTTATGAGCTATTTAGCCTGGCTAGCTTATCGAAAACAAGCATTTCCCAAGTTACTGTCCAAGTGCAGGTTTTTGAACAGTCAATTTTGTTCTTTGTTCCAAACGTTGAGACTCATTTTATTCTCAATAAATTAAACGGAGACCAAATTCAGTGCAACCTGTTTGTTTGTTTCCCTCTCAAGCCCCTTTAAAACGGCTTACGCCTCTCCCACCCACACCACAGTATTTCCCAAGGGAACGTCAGTGATCTCACAGTTGAGTTTATCCAGCCGCCCATCCAGTATAAACAGGGAGCTTTGAGACGGGGTCATGAGATACTGTCCGAACAGCCCACTGCCAGTCATGACCCTGTTCTGGCGGTTCCAAGGCCACTGAGCAGCCGGCGTGGGCTGCTTTAGGCTCTTGATCATTTTGACGTTACCGGTGCTGAGCTCCACAAAAAGAGCATCCGTCTGGTGGCCCGAGCTGCCAAACACGTTATACTGGTTAGCCTCGGTGAACGAGGGCATAAAGGCCAGATCGGACAGGTGGAGGTTGGTGTGAATGTCAAAGGGCTGGCCGATCTCACCCCGCATGGACACATGCTGCAAGCGCATGAGCCCATCACGGTCGTCCACGCTCACTAAATAGTGGCCATCAGGAGAGACATAAGGTGTGCCACTCACATCCCTATTTGGACTGATGACATTGTCTGTTACGCTATCGATGATTAATTGTGGCCGTACCGCACCTGTTGAGTCTGGCCGACAGTTGACGAAGTAGTATCCGCCCAGGTGTGTGTAGGCGAGGGATTGTGGGATGCAATCGTACTGCTGCAGACTAATGTTTTTCACATAGGAGGTGGTTTCCAAATCAATCTTATGAAGAGCTGGTTCGTTCTTGTGGAGGATGATACCAAACCTATAACAGAAAAAATATGCGTTAGACATAGATATCAGTTAGATATTAGTTTCTGTCAAGCAAAACATTCATTCAACACAACTATTTCATGTTTCTTTGTCAGAACAAGCTCACCAGGGTTTTGTGGCATTCAGAATTAAATCACGCTTTTTAAATAATGACTTTTATATTCCAATTCAATCATTTTCAACTGAGATAGAAAAAGGGATGTCAAACTGGAATTTGATAAAAAAAATGCAAGCATTCATATACTTGCTGTGTATGCATAGCTTTTATTTAAAGCTGCAGTCCGTAAGTTTTGCCTCTCTGTCGCCATCTCTGTTTGAAACCTGCAATTGCAGTTATTTGCGGAATTATTTTCTTTATGTGGGTTGCGCGTCGGCTCAGCTCCTCAGTGTGGATGAATCTAATGTTTTAAGGAGTATGTGTGGCTCGCACCAGTGTGGATACTGTACTGGAAGTATGACCCAAATAAGAATTTTCACTGGATATTGTCATCGGAACAAGTAAGTAACAAGTCTGCCACTTTTAGTTCTGACCAACTGAGGAAAAAAGCATTACAATAAAATTGCGCTACCGATGGTGATTAAATCTAACGATCTGTTAGCTCATATCACATCAAACCATGCAAATTATTATTATTGTTATACTTTGTTCTCAAATTGTTAATGTTAACAACATCATCATTGCATGACTACGTGTATGTATGTAGTGTGTATTAGCGTTACATGTAGATTCCAATTTCTGTACAGTCTCTAATTGTCATACCATTCGAATTTCATATAGAGAAATTATTTTAACCTAAAAAGCAAATTATTATTCCTAAGAACTGGTTCCCTTTAAAATACAAAACTTGTGTAATCCCATGTATATGTAACCAGATGCATATTTAAAACTGGAATATAATTTAATTTCAGCCACTTACATGTGTTTTAAACACATAATCCTCCATCAAAATGATACATTTAATTATTCCAGCTGCTGTGAGAAATGGCTATAAACGATCCGCCACCTGCAGCAACATCACGCGATATAGCCTACTAGCTGGGACTCATTCTTTATGTTTACAGTCGTGATGTAATGATGTGGTGGCATGCTAGAATTTCCTGCAAAAACCTACCAGTACCACTTAAATTAGAAAACATGGTAACACTTTCTATGAAGCCCGTATTTATAATACATTATAAGGGTATTCTTAAGGCATTATAATGAATGCATAATGCATTATAAAAAACCTTATAATATGTTGCATTATCTCATGAATATTCATAAGAACAGTTTTAATATATTATAATATTTACTTATTTGTGGTTATAGCTTTTAAGAGTATGATGATTTATAACACAATGAACACGTTGCATCCACTTTTACAATGGATTATATTTCTCATAGTTATAATGTATTATAAGTCTCATATCTTGCCATTTTTCTTATGCTACTTTACTTAAAGTGGTCAAAGACCACTTATAAGTAGTAATAATAATAATAATAATAAAAAAAATCCTCTCAAACAGCCATAAGATCAGATATCAGATCAGATGAATCTGTGTAATGGCACATTTGATTTTAACTATTTTTATTGTAATATCAGTTTGATTATTTTGATGGTACCCTTTAGACAGCTGTTGATAAGTAACTCTGCAACTACATATCAACTAGCGGTCATTAGAGTATTAGTATGTCTGCTACTGTAAATATATGCTAACACTTTATTTTGATGGTCAACCAACAGATAAACTGACTATAAGTGTCTTTGCAAGTATGTCAACTTATTCTACAATACTAGATTCTACCATTTTTGAGCATACTAATACTCTTACTTTTGAAAATCATATTTCCCATGTTACAAAAGCGGCATTCTTCCATCTTAGAAACATTGCCAAGTTACGAAACATGATACCTGTTTCTGATGCAGAAAAGACTAGTTTAAGTGTTTGTGTAGTTAATAAAACCTTACTTGTATCACACTTGATGTGTTCATTGTTTGCTCATAACCGGAGTCACTAATCATGCAGATTTACGTTACAAGCTTTTGTAGAATTGTACAGTAAGAAAGTTATTTCCCTTAACCAGGAAATTAACGTTCTTAGAATTGACAAGACAGTTGACCCTGAGTGGTCAGCTAAATATCTACAGCGGATCTAAAATATGAATAGTTAATTATAACTAGTTATGGTTAATTATTCATATTTCCTGTTGTGAGCTAAATTCGCTACAGAAGTAGATTTAATACGGTGTTCATTGTGTGTTATAAATAATCATACTCTTAAACTTATAACCACAAATACGTAAGTATTATGATGTATTATAATTGTTGTTATGATTATTCATGAGTTGATATAACATGTTATAAGTTTTTTTATAATGCATTATAATTCCTTAAGAATACCCTTATAATGTATTATAAATACGGGCTTCATAGAAAGTTTTACCGAAAACTATAAGCTTTCCGTTTTGAATCTGGCTAAGGTAAGGCTGGTTATGTACTTGTTCAAAAATTGACTTCGTATAATTTTTAACCAAAAAAAGTTCCGGACCGCAGCTTTAATTAGTATATTTTAGTATATAAAAACACAAGTTAATCTTATGATTAAAACTTATTTCATGACAATAATATAATTTTATGGACCACCAAATGACAAAATTAAAATCTTATTTTGATAGTATTGTCTAATAATTTGGGGAACAATATTCTACAAGCATCAATAGGGATAATTAGTCAAACTAAAGATTAAATCATTTCTGTATTGTTGAAAATTTTGTCACATAACTGTTGAATTTCCTTGCAAATTGCAAATAGTAAATTCCTCTTCTAGACAACTCATGAACTGATAGAAAGCCAGTTCATAAACTCTGACTTTTGCCCAACCCTGAAGCTTTGTAATTATTAAGGATCTGCATTGATGAAATAAAAGCTCCGATCCCAAGTTAAAGTGTCCCTGGAACTGGATCTAACTCCACTGCGCACTTGAGTAATGTTGCCCTGAGGGCACTGCGCTTGCAATTAATGAAGTGTAAGTTGCTTTGGATAAGAAGTAGCTGCCACACCAAATGTAACAAACGAAGCTTCTGAGTGAATAAACCCAGAGTGCAGGTTCAAGTCTAATGAGGAAGATCCAAAAGCTTTAAGAGAGAGAAAGAATTCAATGTCACATCTCTGTTCATCAGTCCATGATACATATCCTCTGCCAGATGTCTGGTTTCATAATTGATTTCAATTAAAAAATTAATCATCCACACTTTGTCTCATCCACTGAGAAATCCAAAGAGCTCAATTATTGGCTATAAAAAAATTCTCAGAAGAACCAAGAACAAATGAAGTTGGTGAGGGAAATAAAGGATCTGACAAAGTCCAATTAAATCTGCATGCTCTCCAATCAATTCTAGCACAGACTTCAAACCCTGACATCCATCTTCTTTTATGCACTCGAGAATGTGGCCACTGTCTGCGTCTGGCCAAAAGGCCACGTCTGCTGCGGACCAATGGGACAGATTATCACCACCCGTGATGAGCTCCACCAGTTGGCAGCCGGTGTCCATCTATTAGCCACAGGCCAGGCTGTTTTGGCTGTGACGATATGCTTGGGGGCTTAATTTCTAAATTATGAGGTCCGGGAAGAAGACCTGGCGATGGATCCGGACACTGGGGGGCGAGATCACGGAATATGAATGTAAAAGTGTGTGGTCAATACCCAGTCATACACTTCAATTGTAAATAGGATTATTTTGCTAGCAAGAAAAATTCTCTCCTGCTATGTTAATAAAATAGCTTCTCTATCTGGATTAAGGGTCAAACTGACCTCAAATTATATAAAAATTAGTCATATTGAAATAATATGAATCTTGTATTTGACAAGCTAAAATAAAGGTTCTTTCTCTTTTTTTCTCTTTCTCTTTTTTACTTTTCAAAGTAATTGATGATTTGAAACCACAGAGGAGGGCAGTTTTGTATATACTTTCCAAATCACATCTATGTGTCAAAAACAGTGCACATATATCACCTTAAATGTGTAAGTGTCTAAAAACATTTCTAGAAGAAATAGTTTCACCAGTGTTTCTAGCAGTTTAAATGTGGATCAAACTGACCCACTGATTTGGAGATCTTGCACAAAGATCTTGCACATTTACTGTATGTGCCTAAACTTTGCATAACCATTCATGATGCTAAATAAATAAATAAATCGAGAAATAAATAGTTGTGTGATTTTCTGCCTTTGCACAAAGTTTCTTCTACTTCTGACATTTCATTTCATGGATTAAAAAAGACAACAAAATGGAAAATATATTTACCCTACAGAAACAAAAAAGGACAGAAAGGAAGGAACAGTGTGAATTTATTGTAAAATGTAGCAAGTTTTTTCTTTTTAAATTGTGGGTTTTTTTCCTGTCTATTAAATACATTAATCTACATGTAGCTACATTTTCTCATGAAATTTAAAGTTGCACTTGGTGCCCAATACCTTTGCATAACTTGGAATTTTGTGCATGTAAAATCTTGGTGGCAAATCCAATGCAACAAAAACATGAATAAAACAATGAAGATGGCTGCTGCTAGCACTCATGAACATATATCAATGATACAATTCATCCTGGATATGCTTTAAAAACAGGCCTGTGTGCTATGGGGGTCACTACAATGCTTTCAGAATCAGCTTTCAGCTTTGTTAAACAGATGTATGTTTGATGCAACCCATGAGGAAACATGCATCACTCAATAATGATTACAAATAGGTTTTGTAGTGCTAGATATAAAACATTTCTACAGGGGCATGTAATGATGTATCCCCAGAATAGGATACTTAAGAATCACATTCATCTTTTTGAACTGGCACACACAGCTCTGTCATATGGATATCTGCTGCTGATTTCATTACTCTATAAAGTCACTAGCCTCTACCCATGCAGTCAATATACAAAAGGACAGCTCTGTAATTTGATAATAAAAAACAAAACAAACAAGTGTTTTTGTAGCATTGTGTATACTTTGTGATTTCTGTGTTTGTTTATGCACTGCAGGGCAATTAATAGAGGCTCTTTCCTGTTGTAAATCAATGCTTTTTTCCTAACTAAACCTTAGGCATCCCAAACAACCTTTCTTATTAACAAACAAAACACATTTAATCATTCATGGCAATACTTGCATTTATACAAACTCCTTCAATATTTATCTGACCAACACTTTAGACTGAAAATGTGTATTTAGCATTAGTAAAGGGCCTACTGTACAATTAAAAGAAAACAAATAAGTAAAGTTATGTATTTTTTTTACTGTTGACATGTAAACTTATTTGCCTGCAGGCTGGTTGTGGATAAAAGCATGACAGAAAGTCAATGAATGCTGTGAATGGGATTCTTGTAGGCTGTTATTTTCCCAGTGTGGTGTGTAAATGCTAAAATAATTTGACAAGCTGACTAAAATGTCACATGCAGTCTCTCCCCTGTACAAATCCCTCCTCAACAGTTCACTGCCACAGGTGAAGTCAAAATATATGAGGCATTTCAAATGAGAAACGAATGAAGTAATTATTGGATCACGGATCACCAAACATTCCTCCTTACAACAGTGTTTTGTACAAATGACACCGGCACTGTTTACCAGTCGCAGATCTTATTATGTCAGCATATTCACAAAAATCAATATCCTCCTGAGGATTACTCAAGTAAATTCATATAAATTTACAAGGCACACTGAGCTCTCTGGTTGATCTATTTATTATTCATGGGTATTCGTGCGTAATGTTTGATCCTAGCATGCGTTTATAGTTAGATAAACACTGATATGTACAGTATCAATGTAAAAATAGTTTCTAAAAAATGAAACCTTTTGTGTGTGCAACTTTAGAGTTGTACAAATGTTCACAAATCATTTGAGAGTCATAGAATAGGTTGTCTATTTTATAATCAGTTTACACATTTTTACTGTATTTTTTGATCAAATCAATGCAGCCTTGGTGAGCTTACATATTTTTGATGTTTCTTTTTCTCTTTCTTTTTTTTCTCGGAAAGATGTCAATACACACCATTCCACACTTTCTCAGACAAAGTATCACTATCATTTATTGTAACTGATAAATTCAAGCATGGGATTGATTATTTAGCTTGAGATTGTGGCAAATCCAGTTCCAACCATTCTTCAGAAGATTTGTAATGTGTGTAAAAGGGATTTAGTTGTTTCAGAGGCTGTCAATACACTTTATATAAAATACCTTTGAGATCAGCATGTCTGGTCTTGATCTGAGAGTCTGTTTTTTCTTACATAATCACTCTCACAATCTTTATCTTATTCCCTTTAGATCAATGACGTAATTCCTCAAACATCTTACCTAATGGCGTTTACAAAGAAACACAACTAAAAGCTAATGTCATGTGCTAAATCCAAACTCTTGCCAGGCGAAGATCAGAGGGCTGTAATACTTTACACTGGTGTTAACCTCTATTTCAGTATAGAGCGCTGATGTTGCACTCTGTTGACTTGGAGCACTGAAACACATTACTCCATCAGAGAGTGGACAGCACTGCTAAATGTCACCAGTCTACTGGGACAGAGCACTAAAAAAGTGTACATACCTTCAACTGAGCGTCCAGCAGTTTATTCAAGAAAAACGAGACTGACACACACTGAACTCCAGTGACAGGAACCGAATTGTAGTGCGGCACATATCAACTAGCGCAGTATTACTGCTAGTAAATATTAGGGCGAAAGAAGACAGCTGGGTTCAGTGACTCGTCTATGAGGAGAGTGTGTATTTTGTGAGTGTGTGTGTGGCATGTGTGTAAGCTGTATTATCTCAGGCTTCAAAAGGATTGAAAATTAAACTGGTCTTTGTGTATTACGCTGTATCCTCCGGATGAACTCTCTATTGTGGGACTAAGATCCTGTCTTTTAGCAAAGCTGGTCACTAGCTGTGCTGAGCATCTGCAACTGAATTGCAACAATGTGCTTATTCTCCAAAACCTTTATTAACACTATAATAGGAGACACAGGCTATTTGAACTACAAAAGATGTTTACACACAGATAAGTAAACAGGATAGATGCTATTAGCATTTACTGATCATGAGATTGAGTTATGATAATTTGACCGGATAGTCTTACTAAAATGTTGTGAATATGATTTGATTAGAGTGCAAAGAAACTGTCAATCATCTTGCCTCACAGGGTAAGTCTATGGCTCTGATCCAAAACCTAGTGAGCAGCCTATGTAGGAGGTATTTTAAGGCATCATAGCTGTGCTGGAGACATGAAGGCTACTGAAATCAGTTAATCAAAGTTCCTGTAACACATTTGTTACACGATTTTGGAAAAATCCCATTCATTTTCTCCATAGAGGAATTGATTTTTAATAATAACTTTTAAACCGTTAAAGGCAGACTTACTTTAAGCTACAAAGATGTAGATTGATGGCATAGTATATGCTGAAATTACATCTCCATCTTTCTCGCTTTAAAGCCATTTAGTACACAGCCTTGTACCTTTGACTTTTTGTACAATTTTCATATACTTTTCAGCTTCAAATTAAAATGTGTAATGTTGTGATTCACCTTGCTGCAGTTTGGTTTGGCTCATAGCTTATAACTCTTTAACAAAGTTTTTTTTTTTCCTACAGAAAAAATACTTCTGGAACCAAGGCTGCTGAAAAAGTGGTCTGGCACTGTTGCACTCTATAGAGCGTTCTAACTTATGAGGTTCCTTTTCAGTTAAGATGCTGCGTATGTAGGCAGCAAACAGCAAGATTTTGGAACAGAGCTTAAGTTTTCTTTACGACCGTCACATTGTAATTTTTTTTGTGAACATTTTACATTGTTTGCCACTCTTGTCATCAGCAGTGTGACTTGCTTTCTCAATGAAGAGAACAAGTAATCTCTCTAGCGTTTGGAATTGAGTCATTATTTTTTTTTTATATTAGCACGACATGATAGCATAAGCAAACATTTTTCTGTCAATAGGGGACAATAAGAGGATCAGGGCATGCTCAGTAATCTTCAACTCAGATTTGAATCAATTCAAATGAGATTTCCATATCCACACAACATCTCCTGGTCTGTTTATTCAGGGTTTAAACTCACATTTCCCTCTCGACTACCTCTAAATCTACTTTCTCATGTGAGTGACTATGAATGCACAAAATGGTTTATTAAGATCTAAATGTCAGTTCCTGAAAGCAATTTACACACTATCCAGAACTAGAGCTGTTTTCTCAGGAGTTCTAATCACAGTCAGTACATGTTCATACATCGACTCACATATGTATATATATATATGTATATATATATATGGTGGGAGTCTTTCTCTCTTTTACCTGATGTGATTGATGGTGAGGCTTATGGGAGGAATGAAGAAATCCTCCACACTGTCGAAGCGATGGCCAACCGGCTGGGTGTGGATGGTGTGGTGGGACGTGCTTCCGCTGGCTTGGCTGATCACCTGATGTATGGAAGAGTCACAATAGGAACATGAGTGATCATGCACAGGAACACACACAAGAGGGAGATTTGTGAACTTCTAAATGTCAAAATTCCCCTTGTCTTTGAGGAACTCAAAGTATTCTGTCTGTGATTAACCAAAGCTATGTATTATGGGGGACGAGACTGTTCCAATTATGCGATATGGAACCCCACTGAGACCCCTTTCTATGCTGGTTCAATTTTACAACACTTGGGAATGCTCCAAAAATGTCAACTAAAATCATCAAAACACACTCTCAGCAGGGCCAGCTCATATACTTGAATAATCAGATGAGAGAAGTAGTTGGGCAGAACGTCCCAGTACTCTTGTTGAAGAGGCATCAGGTGGTGATTAGCACTCAGTGATGAATCTGGAGTGATTTGACTTACCTGGAGGGTTGGAAAGTTTTTCTCGAGATCTCCCCAGCTCAGGATCCACACCTGGTCATGAGACTTGTCATAGTGCAGCTTCACTGGAACCCGGTCGGTGCTCACAGTCTGTTGACAACAACAGAAATCTACAGTTTCCATCTGCTTATCAAAATCAGATAACGTAGTAACATTTAATGACTAAAAATGTAGTTTATATAGTAGGGTTGGACAAATCTCATGTTCAAAAAGCCTCATGATCCATTAAAAAATGTTAATTTAATGTTATGTAAATGTTAATAAGTTAATTTAATAAATCATATAATTAAATTATATCTAATGTATTACCTAATTTAATAAGTAAACTTTCATACACCACTGTTTAAAAGTTTGGTGTCACTTTAAAAAAAAAAAGAAACGAATAATTTTATTCAGCAAGGTCCTGAAAGAAATATCGTTTTACACCAAAATATTATGCAGCACAACTATTTTCAACATTGATAATAATAATAAATGTTACGTGAACACCAGTTCAGCATATTTCAGCATATTTCTGAATAGATGCTGAAAATGTTTGCCAACACAGGAATAAATTACTTTTATATTTAAAAACATATTCAAATATTTCACAAATACTGTCTTACTGTATATTTGATCAAATATTTGAAGCCTTGGTGAGCGTATAAGTCTTCTTTTAAAACATTCACAAATATACAGATATATTCATATTTTAGTCATTTGATATAATATACACTATCATAGTCAGTTCACTTATAAAATGTACACAATCCAATTAGAAAGATGCTACACAGTATTCATCATTAATTGGAGTGAAATGTTATAATTATCTCATGCTAGGCACAACTAAAACAGACGCTTCAGCATTTTTGCCCCTGGTCAGTAGAGCGTCTATGAAAAATTGATAAATTTTCCACATTGTTTGCTTTTCAAGCGTCCCTGTCACTGGAAATCATTATGTTAATTCATAAAGCAGATTCCCATCCATGCTTTTTAACATTCTACAAAAGTCACCAGAAAAGTTTACAAGTCCACCAAATCAACTATCCATGACAGAGAGAATGTGTGTCGCTTCCAAAAGCACAGCTGTATGTTTTTTTGCACATGCAGAGTTTGGTTATGGGTGTGCATTTTAAATGGAGTGCTGACAGTAACAATAGCTCAGCCCGTTTGCAATAATAGCTTTGCATCCATATCCATTCTCTGTCACCTGGCTGGAGATATTCCACTGGGAAACAAATGATTCATTTTGTGCAGTGATAGCCTTACTGTGCAATTTTCACACCTCATTGTGCTTACATGGATGCACACGAATATGAAAAAAATGTTAATTTGCACATTGAGCGTTGCAAAAATGATTACACCTTCTCTCTCAGTAGGACGGACATTTTTTCCCCCTCAGAATGTCTCTAACTTCAGATAAGTGTATTCATCTGATGCAGCATTCACTGTTAAGTCCTCCACAATGTGAGCATTTGCACAGCTTGTTTCGACAACACACCGCATTAAAAGAAACCAAGAGAGAACTAGTGTTCGTGTGTAGCTATGATGAAGGAGGGTGATTGTTGTCTTCAGCGTCATCTCCATGTGTGCAATAATCTGTGGGAGCAGATGTGCACATTGAATTTTTATCCCAGCACATCCCTTCCTCCTTACGAGGATTAGGCTGAATAATAGAAACTCTTCAGCACAGATGAACAAATTCTCACCACCATCCTTAGCAGATGTGTGAAATTTTAAATCGTACAAAAAAGTTTTGGTTAAATAGTGAATCCTCAGGCTTAAAACATAATTTGTAGACAAATATTAGACTCTTCTCTATTTTTATCCGATTCTAAAAGATCAGGTGGATAATTCGCACTTGCTAATCTGAGGTAATGAAAACCAAACTCCCCGGTGATTCAATGATCCCAAGTGTGACCCTTGTCAGCACATTATAAGGAATCATGGAATACCCAAGTGAGGCCTGGCATGGAGAAAGTCTTGATGGCACTCATTTGGGCATTCACTCTGAAACAAAACAACTTTTCAGCCTGAAACATCAGCCACTACTAAGGCTGCGTTTACACTTGGCATTAACATGCGATCACCGTGATTCGATCAAGCAGATCGGATCGTCAGTCAATCAGAACACGGCGTGTTAACATTCCAATCATTTTGTGTGGTGGTTTGGAGCAACTTGAGGAAAATACTCAAACAACAGATTATTGAGTGCCCATGGCAGAAAAAAAAGAAAACGTTGCATACTATGTGCAAATGAAGAATAAATATGCTAAATAAACATGTTAAAATATGCCAACTAGAATTGTAATTAAAAAAAAATTGAGGATTATGAATTATGTAGTAAACATGGCACATTACATATATTAAAATGCAGCATTATTTAAATTAGATGACATGTCTATGGTATGTTCATGAGAATAATGTTTTAGTTACTGATTCATTGGCTTACCTGAACAGCTTTCTGGGATTGGATGTCTACAATGAGCAACCTGTTCAGCAAAGGCTGTGTGGCGTAAATGAACTTGTCCTTCACATTGACGGCTGATGTCCACATACATTTCTGATCCTTCTCTCCCTCCACTTGTGGACAGACCTCCTCCTTCAGAAATAAGATAAAAAAGGGCCATTAAAACAGACTACACATAGAAATATTATTAGAGTAAATGCATTTCAGAAGTGTCTCTTCACGTAAAAGGAAACTACGAAGAACACTTCTGTGTTGAAGGTCAACAATGCTACTAAACGTTTCCATGAAGCCACAAAAATAAACAATTTTTTTTGTTTTTAGAAAAAAATTAAACTACTATCAAATAGTAAAAGACTCTCTAGTGTCGGCCTCAGAGAAAGGGACCTTGTGGATGTGGATTGATAGTGGGCAGAAGTGTCATCATGGAGACAAACTCTGTCAAAAAGTGAGCGGCTGTCAGGCCTGAGGCCGAATGTGCTGTGGTTAAAGAGGTGAGAGTTGCTTGATTGATAGCCACAGAGGTTGTGCAGAAGTGGGCGTCTCCTGTGGTGATTCTGTTGACTGGGCTACTCAAGGGCTGTCGACGACAATCAAGACGGAGACACAGACTGATGTGACTGGATACGTCTGGTCAAGCGACACTTTTGCAAAACTCAAATAGAATTGTAGTTGGCACAAGTACATAACATTTGGTTATGTTTAATGTTCTAAAAAGATTTGGTTATGTTTAATGCTCTAAAAAACTACAAACCAAAGCCAAAAACTGCAACATCAATCTGTAAGACCTTCAAAATGATCAGTGAATATTTCAAATAGGAGGGAAGTACATGTGATAGTGATTTCCCACAAGCAGAACATAGGAAAAACACATCATAATGCTCTCTAAATGTTCTTCCCCAGATAGAGTTTGCACCGGGGCTTGCCGTTAAGGCCTGGCATTTGATTGATGTCCTAATAGAGGCCTGCTGCCTCTCTGGAGGCTGGAAACTCAAGCTCTCACCGCCCCGAGCCCTAAACAAACACAGCTGTCTCATCAGCATACCCAGCTCCAACGTAACAGCAAAACCGAGGAAGGCAATCATTTAATAGCTTGTGTAAATCTAGCAGCTGTCTATCAGAAAGGGCTGAGAAATTATATGCAGAGTCAAGGAGGGATGTAAGCGATGAAGGAGATCAGCTGATGTCTGTGCTGAGGATCAAACCCCATGCGGTTAAATTACTGGTCATGTCAGGCGAGGAAGAAAGAAAGAAAGAAAGGGAAGAAAGATAGAAGGCAGGAACGAAGCGTGAATAGAATGAAAGGTGGATAGATGGATGTGTGATGGATAGAAAGAATGAAAGAGAAAAAGGAAGGAAGGAAGGAAAGAAAGAAAGAAAGAAAGAAAGAAAGAAAGAAGGAAGGCAGGAAGGAAGCATGAATAGAATGAAAGGTGGATAGATGGATGTATGATGGATAGAAAGAATGAAAGAGAAAAAGAAAGGAAGGAAAGAAAGAAAGAAAGATAGAGAAAGAAAGAAAGAAAGAAAGAAGGGAAGAAAGAAGGAAGGCAGGAACGAAGCATGAATAGAATGAAAGGTGGATAGACAGATGTGTGATTGATAGAAAGAATGAAAGAGAAAAAGGAAGGAAGGGAAGAAAGAAAGATAGAAAGAAAAAAGGGAAGAAAGAAGGAAGGCAGGAAATAAGCATGAATAGAATGAAAGGTGGATGGATGTGTGATGGATAGAAAGAATGAAAGAGAAAAAGGAAGGAAGGAAAGAAAGAAAGAAAGAAAGAAAGAAAGAGAAAGAAAGAAAGAGAAAGAAAGAAAGAAAGAAAGAAAGAAGGGAAGAAAGAAGGAAGGCAGGAACGAAGCGTGAATAGAATGAAAGGTGGATAGACAGATGTGTGATGGATAGAAAGAATGAAAGAGAAAAAGGAACGAAGGAAAGAAAGAAAGATAGAAAGAAAAAAGGGAAGAAAGAAGGAAGGCAGGAAAGAAGCGTGAATAGAATGAAATTTGGATAGATGGATGTGTGATGGATAGAAAGAATGAAAGAGAAAAAGGAAGGAAGGAAGGAAAGAAGGAAAGAAAGAAAGAAAGAAGGGAAGAAAGAAGGAAGGCAGGAACGAAGCGTGAATAGAATGAAATTTGGATAGATGGAGGTGTGATGGATAGAAAGAATGAAAGAGAAAAAGGAAGGAAGGAAGGAAAGAAGGAAAGAAAGAAAGAAAGATAGATAGATAGATGAATGATCGAACAAATAAGAAATGTATGGGTGGGTGAATGTCAGGAGAGGAAGACATTCTGAATGTCAGGAGAGGAAGAGAGGAAGACTCCGCTGCGCTCTGCTTCACGGAAACCTGGCTGAACGGAGCCATCCCGGACAGCATGTTACATCTAATGGGCTTCCAGCTGTTCAGAGCAGACCACGTCACCGAGTCGTCGGGGAAAACGAGAGGTGGTGGATTATGTTTTTATATCAATGAAGGCTGGTGTACAGACGTGACAGTTGTAAAGAAGATGTGCTGCACAAATTGGGAAGGTCTCTTCATTAACTGTAAGCCTTTTTATTCACCGCAGGAGTTTTCCTCGTTTATTCTGGTGAGTGTGTACATTCCTCCTGATGCGCGTGTGAGCGCGGCGCTAGAACTGCTGGCCGATCAGATCACACACACAGAGCAGCGTTATCCGGACTCTGTCATTATCATTCTCGGTGATTTTAATAAAGCTAATCTCACCCGTGAACTGCCTAACTATAGACAGAACATCACATGCCCCACCAGAGACAGCAATATACTGGACCACTGCTACACTGTTTTAAAGGATGCATACCACTCTGTCCCCCGAACAGCACTGGGACTCTCTGATCACTGTTTGGTTCATCTTCTACCAGCCTACAGGCAGAAACTCAAATCTGCTAAGCCTGTAGTAAAAACTGTAAAGAGATGGACTGCTGAAGCAGAGCAAGATTTACAGGCCTGCTTCAAACTTACTGATTGGAGTGTTTTTGAGGCTGCAGCTACTGATCTGGATGAGCTCACTGACAGCATGACATCCTACATCAATTTCTGTGAGGACATGTGGGTTCCCACCAGGACTTATTTATCATTTAACAACGACAAACCTTGGTTCAGTGCAAAACTCAAACAGCTCCGCCAGGCCAAAGAGGACGCCTACAGGAGTGGTGACAAAGACTTGTACAAACAGGCCAAATACACACTGAATAGGGAGATAAGAGTGGCAAAGTTAAACTACTCTGAAAAGCTAAAAAAACAGGTTTCAAGTAATAAATCTACATCAGTGTGGAAAGGCCTGAAAGTCATCACCAGCTACAAGACCCCATCCCCCAGCACTGAGGCCAATCAACAACTGGCTGAAGACCTGAACGAGTTTTACTGTAGGTTTGAAAAGCAAAAGACTGGTCTGACACCCCACACCCGCTCCGACCATCTCACAGCACAGCCATCAACACCCTCCCCCCTCCCTCCCCCTACTGTTTCTCAACCTGTACTCAAGATCTGTGAAGAGGATGTATGCAACGTCTTCAGAATGCAGAAGACAAGGAAAGCCAAAGGCCCAGACGGTGTCTCTCCAGCCTGCCTCAAAGCCTGTGCTGTCCAGCTATCATCCATCTTTACATAGATCTTCAACAGATCCCTGGAGCTGTGTGTAGTCCCCTCCTGCTTCAAATGTTCCACCATCATCCCTGTACCCAAGAAATCAAAAATCACAGGACATAATGACTACAGACCTGTTGCTTTAACATCTGTGGTCATGAAGTCATTTGAGAGTCTGGTGTTGGCCTACTTGAAGGACATTACTGAACCCTTGCTGGACCCCCTGCAGTTTGCTTACCGTGCAAACAGGTCTGTGGATGATGCAGTCAATATGGGACTGCACTACATCCTCCAAGATCTGGACAAACCAGGGACTTATGCAAGGATCTTGTTTGTGGACTTCAACTCCGCTTTCAACACCATCATCCTGGACACCCTTCAGAATAAACTGACCCAACTCTCTGTGCCCACCTCCATCTGTCAGTGGATAACCAGCTTCCTGACAGACAGGCAGCAGCAAGTGAGGCTGGGAAAACTCACATCCAACACCTGTACCATCAGCACCGGAGCTCCTCAGGGCTGCGTTCTCTCCCCACTGCTCTTCTCCCTCTACACAAATGACTGCACCTCTAAAGACCCCTCTGTCAAGCTCCTGAAGTTTGCAGACGACACCACAGTCGTTGGTCTCATCCAGGACGGCGACGAGTCTGCTTACAGACAAAAGGTTGAGCAGCTGGCTGTCTGGTGCAGTCACAACAACCAGGAGCTCAACACGCTCAAAACAGTGGAGATGATCGTGGACTTCAGGAGAAACCCCCCTGCTCTCCCCCCCACTCACCATCATGAACAGCTCTGTGGCTGCAGTGGAGTCATTCAGATTCCTGGGAACCACCATTTCTCAGGACCTGAAGTGGGACATTCACATTGACTCCATTGTGAAAGAGGCCCAGCAGAGGTTGTACTTCCTTGGTCAGCTGAAAAAGTTCAACCTGTCACAGGCGCATATGACACAGTTTTACTCAGCTGTTATTGAGTCGGTTCTGTGTTCTTCTATAACTGTCTGGTTTGGGTCAGCCAGCAAATCAGATACAAGAAGACTGCAACGGACTGTTAGGACAGCAGAAAGGATCATTGGTGTGCACCTTCCCAGTCTTCAGGACTTGTACAACTCCAGAGCGAAGAAACGGGCAGGTAACATCATCAAAGACCCCTCTCACCCCGGACACAACCTGTTTACACTTCTCCCTTCAGGCAGACGCTACATATCTCTGTGCACTAGAACATCTAGACATAAAAACAGTTTTTTCCCCCATGCCATCTCCAGCTTAAACAGCTAACACATGAATCATTATCTGTGTTCTGTAATTAATTTCCATAATTAATTCTACATCCTTAATTATTGCCTCTTTCTCAAGTATTATGTAAACACATATGCATATCTCTTTATTTATACAGTTCTATATAGAGTAAATAATGCACAAATCTTTACATAAATCTACTGTTCCTGATTCATACACATTATTTATTGTTAAGTTTTACTATTTTAAATGTTTTTTTTCTGTTCTCATGTCAGATGTGTATGCATGTATGTATGCACCAGGAGCACCTTAAAAAAAAACACAACAAATTCCTTGTGTGTTTGCGCACACCTGCCGAATAAAGCTAATTCTGATTCTGATTCTGAATAGACTGAAGGGTGGATAGATGGATGAGTTATGGATGGATAGAAAGAATAAAAGAGAAAAGGAATGAAGCAAGGAAGGAATGATGACAGATGAATGATTGGATGGATGGATAGAATAAAAAAAGAAAAGGAAGGATGGATGGATGGATGGATGGATGGATGGATAGATGGAAGGAAAAAAGAAAGGAAGGAAAGATGGATGGGTAAACAGAATGAAGGTTGGATAGATGGATGATGAAGAAAGAGTGAAAGAAAATGGGGGAAAGGAAGGAAGGATGGATGATGGAAAGAAAAGATTAATGATGGATGGATGAAAAGAAATAATGAGAAAAGGATAGATGATGGAGGGAAGAATGGTTGGAAAGAAGTAAAGATGGATAGGTAAAAAGAATGAAGGATGATAGATTAATGGAACGAGTGAAAGAAAAGGGTGAATGGATTGATTTAAAGTAAGAAAAAGAAATGGAAAGAAGGAAGGAAAAATAGAATAGTAGGATGGATGCATAGATGGAAGAAAGAAAGAAAGAAAGAAAGAGAAACGGAAGGAAGGAAGGATAGATGGATGAAAAGAACAGCATACATCATACTGTATGTAGCCATTCATGCAAACACCAGCAATCAATCATTTTTTTGTTGTAAAATAATTGCAAAAGAATGCTGATAAATAAATAGCAGTCATAAACTTCACACTTACAGCATGCAGGAGGGAAGACAGAGGCTTTATGTTGCACATTTACAAGTGCTTAAACATTTCTTTTATACGACAGCTCACCTGCAGGCCAAGAAGCTTCTCGCTGGGCTTGATGTGTCTCTGAATCTCACAGGCCACTGGCTGGATGACTTTAATACCGTCCTCATAAAACACATAGAACATGTTTCCAATCCCCAGACCTGTAGTATGACATAGGTAAGTTTGTTCAGGGCTCAAACCCCCCCCCTCCAAACTTCAACATTACCACTACCACTACCACTATCATATACCTGAGTCCAGACATACACTAGACATTAATATTGCATTGAAACACAATGCTTACTTACCTTCTTCTCTCCACAGGATGTTAGCCACTGCAAGAGAACACAAAGAAGACTCATGTGAGAGATGTTTGCTGTACTTTACTCATCCAAAAGTTAAAAAATCCACCCCACCAGAGATACAAGATGAACTCACACCTCTGGCTATAAAAACCTCCCACAGATTATTGCAACAACATTTGTAAGTTTTTTTTTCTGCTGTGGTTTAATGCTGAGAGTTGTGTTTGATTTGGCCAAGTAATTATATTCGGCAACCTGAGGAGCTTATTGATTTGACTCGCTCATGTGTAATCAATACTGTGTCGGCATTGTACATTGAGGTCAGCCTGTGGGAATTTATACACTCACACACAGTGGCCAACCACAGCTTTCACACAGAGGAAACAATGTGCATTAGGGTGAAAGTCAGAGCTTATCTTTGCATTAAGCATGATTATTTACCCATAACTGCTGGAGCTGTGACTAGTATTACCTTTTAAAACACTTAAACTTTGGAAATTGAGATCAATACCTTACTAACAATGATCAAATACCTTTAAAATGGGTCTCATGGCAATCAAGCGGTTTAGCAAAGCGTCGCTGAAGCATAACCAAAAAATATCACACACAATTAACTCCTGAATAATTCCAAAAGCATTTTAGTACAGAATACATTGGCTGATAACTACAATAAAAACACCTCCATTACAAAGAAATGATTCCTGATGGCCTCTGCAATTTTACTAAAAATAACAATGATGGCCATTACCCGCAAATAACCGATATGCCATTATTATGCTCTTGCAATATTTGTTACCAAGGATCTATTGATAAATATGACTCGTTAGCAGAAAAGAACAGTATATTATGCCAATAACATCCAAATTCTCCTCCTTATTACTTTGTGATTGTTCACTAGTGCAGTTTCGTTGTGAAGATGTGACCTCCAACTGTTCCTCAGCAATCGGATTCAATCTCGTCAGTCTGCGAATCAATCTCCCACAATTCATCCCTGCACCAAGCGATTCTCAATCTGCTCTCTCACTTCATCAAGGAGACAGAAGAGCACAGTAACGGAGCTAGAGTTAATCTTCAAAAAGTCCTTAGTCAAGTTCTTTTTCTATGAGTTAATGCATCGGAGCAATCTAAAAGACTTTTGTGAAAAATACTGCCATTGCATCAGCAAATGATGAGGAATGTTAAAAAAAAAGATTCAGGAAACATGGAGCTCCGCTACAGCATGAAAGAAGAAGGGTGTGGTTTGGAAGTAATGTGATCTGGAGTCTTTTCCAATAACACAGAGTATTGACACAATTCATCACCAGGCAGGGGAAATAAAGAATCATAGAAATATGTATGGACACTGCTGAAATAAGTCAAAGTGTTGATCTGGGTACAAAGTAAATTTAAATTTGATGTTTATACAGTTTCCATGTTAAAGGAAAACCATTTATTTTACACTTTAGACTCAACATGCAACCAATACCATAATATTTTGTATATTGATACTAAAATACTATTCTATGGTGACCGGGAGGGGACATGTTCAGTTTACTTAGTTTTGCGTTGGCCACGAGATATTAATTCGTGGGAACATCATATTAACTCGTAGCCATGAGTTTAATGTGTAAACAAACCTGTGTGACCTGGGATTATCAGAGATGGATTTATTCATATTTTATTTTGAATTAAGAAATTATTAGATTTATTATTATTTAAACTATTATTACATGATTAAATTATTTTAACCATAGGCCTAGGCTTCCAGACTGTATTGCGCGCGATGTAGACTGCATTTGAATGTAGTTTATCATCAATAAATGTTACATCAAGTACATAAAATAAAATAGCCCTACAAAAAACATTTTTATCCATCCCACAGTCTTGTAAGTACATTAACTGATCGTCTTTTTCCGTAATATTTGTATATTATTATTATTATTGATTATATTTTTATATTCGCTGTTATGTATTTATTTTCCCTTCATTTCGATCTTTTTACTTAATGTTCTAAATAGTTTTGTAAATAATAGCCTACTGTAAATGCCTGACATGCCAATAAAGCTTTGATTATGCTATGACTTATGGGAATTTTTACTGAAAGTGCAGTTAAAAGGTTGATTTTAACATATATTTTATTTTATTTCAGCTAATTAATAGACTATTATAAATATAGTGTTTCATTGAGGAATGAATCATTCGCAAATGAAAACACAACATGCTCATTTATCGTCACATGTGGGCGTAAATACAAACATTAAATCAAAACTTTATTGGAATAATTGTCAGGTGTTTACAGTATTTGCAAAATATGGTACCATATTAATAAATACTAGTTTAATTATACAGAACGTTAATCAGGTGAAATGCTACACGAATTGAAAGGGGAAATAAGAATATATAACAATAAATATAAAAATATAGCCCTAACCAGTTAATATAATAATATTATTATATTATCCTACAGTTATATAATAATAATATACACATATTAAATAAAAAGACACGATCAGTTAATGGATTTACTGCACTAAGTCTGTGGGATGGATAAAAATGTTTTATCCATCTGTGTTGCTATATGATCACACAGGTTTGTTTACGCATTAAACTCATGGCCATGAGAAAAGGATGTCGTTCCCTAAACATAGGATCTCGAGGCCACGACTTCACATCGCGTGGCCATAACATAAGGATGTCGCTACCTCGACAAAATGACTTTGTGGCCACAACATATTATCACGTTCCCACGAGTTAATATGCCGTGGCCATGACAAAACTAAGTGAACCGAATGGTCACCATACTATTCTTCTTAAATATGTAAAATATTTTTAAATATTTCAAACATAAAAACTCTGCAAAAGTAGAAAATGAAAGCGGCAAGATATTATTACAGTAGATATTATACTATTTTTCTAAGATTCTTCAATTTAAAGTAAAGAATCTAATTAAATAATTAAATTGATATTTTTAAATTAAATACATTTAAATGCTAAATAAAAAAGAAAGGTTAAAAAAACAACAACAACCTGATGTCAGATATATACAGTGTATATATATATATATATATATACTGTGTGTGTGTGTGTGTGTATACATATATAATTTTTTTTTACTGACTATTTTGAGGATTTTGTCTAATAAAAGCTCATTAAAAAAGTCCCATTTATATATTGTATTGCATAATTTAGCTCATCTATCCATCAGAATGGTTCAGGTTAGTGGAACACGGCTGCCGGGAAAAACCACAAACCTTACCTCAATGCACTCTGCCCGAAACACTATGTTCCCAACAGCAGAGTTACATTTCATGCTGCCGGTGGGAGATAAAGCAGTGGTACGAGTCGACTGTGATGGCATAACAGGTGAAGGCCAATGTTGGACTCTAATTAGGTCTCCAACACAACGGAAAACTAATCAAGACAAATGCCTGGGGTCTGCGTTTCTGCTTTGCCTCTCTGAATCATTCATGGACCTATCAAAGTATTCATGAGTTGAGAATGCAACTCTGCGTCTATAAAGATAATGCTCCGTTATGCAAATTCCCCTGGTTGTCCTGCATAATTAAAAGAGCGAACATGATTTAATTATGACAATTATGAAGACTCAATAAGTGAATATGCTATATGACTGAAGGATTTGTTGAAGCAACCTTTCCCACTTTCTACATTTGGTGTGTAGCGTATATATGGAAAAATACTGTGTATATGGTAGGTATGGAAGGTCATGCTACCTTACAGATGAGTGCACTACCTTATTTTGCTGGTATTGCATTCTTTAAACTTTAATACAAACTCCTACAGTCTTTTGGATATTGAGGTTAATGCCCTCAGGTGTAGGGCAACACCTCAGAGAAGGGCTAATGCTGAAATAGACTTCAGAAAATACATTTGATGAAAGAAGGAAAAGAAAATAGCCTCTAATTTTTGTCTTAGAGTGGTGATACAGAGTGTAAGGCTCAACTGTCCAGGAAAACTGGCCTTTAGACACATCTTCGCACACAGGTGTTCAGGTCGGTCATTATTGATATAAACTAAGAAAAAGCACTCAAATTTTAGCTGAAGAATTGAAACAGAAATTATAATATACGCACTAACATAAAAGTTTTGGGGTGAGTAAAAATGTGTAATGTTTTTGAAAGTCTTTTATGCACACCAAGACTGCGTTTATTAAAAACACAACAACTATATAAGTTATATTGTGAAATGTTATACAATTTAAAACTACTTTATATGTACTTTATTCCTGTGATATTACTCCAGTCTTCAGTGCACAAGACTGGTAACATGAATTAAATGTTTTTTACTAACCCTTTAAGAAGAAAAAGTTAGATTTTTTTACGCCGACTACAATCACTTTTTATGTTGCAACTATGGGCTATATTTATACAAGTATAAACATGAGTTTGTAATGTTTCATCCAATAACAACAATTCTCTCATTCATTCACTCTCAAGCCACTCCAAATCTATTTTTACCTACTTTCTTCCATGCAACTCAAATGCATTACATGAGTCTGAAGCATTCAAACTTTGCAAAAGTATATACAGTTTAAAAGTGGTCTGTATGATGTATGTGCTATTTAAAGTTTTCCAAAGTAATACAAAAGCTCTGGGTGAGAAAAAGACCAATTTACTGAAACCAGCTGTGTGAATTTCGACTAATAGTAGTGAATGAAGTGTTCAGGCAAGTTTTCTGAACTATTCTAAACACTATTCATTAAAGAAATCTGAAAGAAGGAAAAGGGTCACATACTATGCATTGTTTTTTTTTTTAGGATAGAGCTCTGTGCACTTAAAATTCTGCCGGTTGAGCACGAGCATGTTCACTGGCATATCCCATGGGTTTGCATCCCAGTATACAATGGCAAAGAGATGCTGACACTGTTCAGATGGACCCAGTCTGTGACAGTGCAGAACACAAAATTACAGGGTGTGAAATTATAATTCTGACAAGATCCCTACAGTAGACTGCCTGATCCAAACAAAAAAAGTAGATAAATGGACAAAGTAACCATCACATTTGGCTTTTGGCGAGGCTCTTGCTAACATGCAAGG